TTTGCAGCATTGCTCATCATGTTTAAAATTCATACATAAATAATTATTCTAATAACTTAACAAAATTATTTTTAGATATATATGTAACAAATTTTTTAAATATTAAAAGGCTTTCTGCAATAAGCCATTACCTAATCTTTAAGTCATAAAAAATTAATCAATCACAGTCGAATGTAAGAAGAATAATCGGCTATGATTAGTTAATTTTTTATGACTTAAAGTTTAGGTAATGTCTTATTGTAGAAAGCCTATTATACTTTAAGAAGATCCTTCTTTTCGTGTATTAATGACGAACTTAATTTTCATGTATCGGAAACATGTTCAACGATAATCAATAGCTTGAAACGATAACACGATTCGACGCTCATTGTCAGTACAAACGCTGTTAACAACACGGTAATCACTAGGACGATCAATTATATAGCCAGATAATTCGCCACTTACGAAACGATTGTCGAGAGTAGATAATTCGATACGACGCGAACGTGTTTTCGTATAGAGATGCAGCTTCCGGCCGCATTCGTATAAGCGCAACGATATAAGCACATTCGTTTGCTTTCGTGTGGAAACGGATGGCGAGTATTGACTCTCGTTTCAATATTCAGCTTCTTGAATAAAACAACAGCAACTGACCGGCCAGTCGACCACGACCCTCCGACATTGAACCATCGGGTACATTCCAAGATCTCGCCGCTGCATCAGCATTCATCCGTGTCCACGAAAAAGATAGCCCACTTGTATGCCCATACCTTGATAAACAGATGCAACATCGTATTGCGCGATCATTTTGAAGAAATAGTACCTACACGAGATTTGCGATTGGAATATGCGATCGATGTGCTAATCTTAACCGTATACTGTACCAATGACATAGTTTCATTAATCATTATTATCTCATGTAAACTCATGTCAATTTTCTTAATTCGTGAATATCCATCTAATAATATATTTCTAATTTTGTACAACTAACCTAGATAATTTAAAACTAACTAAGATAATTTAAAGTTCATTATTGTCATCAAAAATTTTATATTTTATATTTATATTATGAGTATAAAACTTATAAGCCTCTTTATGAATAAATCACTTTTATCAAGTATCGCTTTCTATTATATAGCAACATTTCAATTTAATTTTACATAAAGTATTTTTATGCCATAATTAAATATAAAATTCAAATAAAAATATTTAACAATTTTTATTTCAAATTTTATATCAGCTTTTTTAAATATATTTAATATCGTAAAAGTATTAAATTAATTTAAATATTCAAAGGTAATTTTACT